CTCCGGAGGCACCAGAGCCGCCTCCTGGTCCACAGGTGAATTCACCTCGCACCCGCAGCCGCCGAGGCTCCCGTGGGCCCCGGGGCGCCGCACGGTCCCTGTGTAGGGTGAGGTCTGACTGGCGCTTCAAACTGCCACCCAGACCCCGCCCCTTCCTGGGATTCGAGGAAGAGGTGCAGATTCGGTGGGCAGGTCGGGGTGGGCTGCATTTCCAGCAGGCTGTCGGGATGTCCGCGCTGTGGTCGGTGCACCACGGTGACGTGCTGGGGCTCGCGTGCAACGGGCGGCCGAGCTGAGGTCAAGTCCCGCTCCCGCTGTTTACCTAGCTGTGTCCACTGGGACAAGTGCTTGCAACCCTCGGCACCCGTGAAGTCCGGCGGCAGGAAGCCCCCTGCGTGGACGGACACGGGGAGCGGGAGCCCAAGTCCTTGACAGGAAGGCTTTTCTTCTCCCTGCATTTTATGTTTCCCCGAGGACTCTGGCTATGCCGCAGCCTTGCCAGACAGCTCTGGGCGTGGAAGGAGCTGGAAGCAGAGGCCCCACCACGTCTAGCTCCCGGGGACAGTCAGGGCTCCCCTCGGCAGGAACCGCAGGCCTGCGGTGACTTCAGCCACTTCCGTCTGCTTCGGGATTAAAGAGATGAGGACACGGATCAGGCCTGGGCATTCAGGCAGCAGTTGAGGTGCCCACATTCCGAGTCAGAATACGGGGTTCACGCCGAGCCCGGGCTCCAGACCCCCACACAGCAGGGGGTGGCTCAGGGAGCTGGGCTCCTGCCACCCACGTGGACAATCTGGACTGCATTCCCAGCTCCCAGCTTTGGCTTGGCGCAGCCCCAGGGACGGTTGGCACCTGGGGAATGAACCAGCCAACAGAAGCTCTCTGTCTCCCTGATAAATCAGTTTTTTTGTTTTGTTTTGTTTTGTTTTGTTTTGTTTTGTTTTATTTATTTTTTTTGACAGGCAGAGTGGACAGTGAGAGAGAGAGACAGAGAGAAAGGTCTTCCTTTGCCGTTGGTTCACCCTCCAATGGCCACCGCAGCCGGCGCGCTGCGGCCAGCGCACTGCGCTGATCCGATGGCAGGAGCCAGGTACTTCTCCTGGTCTCCCATGGGGTGCAGGGCCCAAGGACTTGGGCCATCCTCCACTGCACTCCTGGGCCACAGTAGAGAGCTGGCCTGGAAGAGGGGCAACCAGGACAGAATCCGGCGCCCCGACCGGGACTAGAACCTGGGGTGCCGGCGCCGCAAGGCGGAGGATTAGCCTAGTGAGCCACGGCGCCGGCAATAAATCAGTTTTTTAAAGATTTATTTATTGATCTGAAAGGCAGAGTTAGAGAGAGACAGAGACAGAGAGATCTCCCATCCACTGGTTCGTTCCCTAGATGGCTGCAATGGCTGGAGCTGGACGGATCCAAAGCCAGGAGCCAGAAGCTGCTTCCTGGTCTCCCATGTGGCGCAGGGGCCCAAGGACTTGGGTCATCTCAGGCTGCTTTCCCGGGTGTATTAGCAGGGAGCTGGATCAGAATTGGAGCAGCTGGGACTCGCACAGGCGCCCATATGGGATGCCAGCATCCCAAGCAGAGGCTTTACCTGCTACACCACAGCACTGGTCTCTAAGAAAATAAATTTTAGAAAGAAAAAAGAAGGCTGGGTGTCCTGGGGCAGTGGGCTAAGCTGCCGCCTGGGCACCTGCTCCCCAGGTTGGGGTGCCTGGTTTGTGTCCAGCCCCCTGCTGATGTGCATTGTGGGAGACAGCAGATAATGACCCAAGTACTGGAGTCCCCATCACCCATGTGGATGACCTGGATTGAGTTCCAGGTTCCTGGCTGTGGCCCAGCCCAGCCCTGGCTGTTGGCAGGTATTTGAGGAAAACACCAAAGTAATCTGATATTTTAATTCCACTTTTCCATGAACCTTTTGAAGTATCCTTGTATAAGAATGTAGCAAGTGGGGCCAGCCTGTGGCCTAGTGGGCTAAGCACCTGCAGTGCTGGCATCCCATATGGGCACCAGTTCAAATCCTGGCTGCTCCATTTCTGATCCAGCTCTCTGCTATAGCTTGGGAAAGCATAAGATGACCTAAGTGCTTGGGCCCCTACATTCACCCCACCTGGGAGGCCCAGAAGAAGCTCCTGGCTCCTGGCTTCAGATCAGCCCAGCTCCGGCCACTGCGGCCATTTGGGGAGTGAACCAGAGGATGGAAGATCTGTCTGTCCCTCCTTCTCCCTGTCTGTAACTCTACCACTCAAGTAAATAATATTTTAAAAATGTAGCAGAGTGTGTCAGGTACTGTTCTGGGTGCTGTATATGTTAGCTCATTAACACGGATGAAGCCCCTGGCAAGTGGCTTACCCAAGGTCACTCGGCTGCTGAACAGTGATCTGAGGCTAGAGTCCACGTAAGGATCCTGAGGCCATCGTGTCGCACACACGTCGCCCAGGATCTGCATGCCTCCACCCATCCTCCGTGTATCTGCTGTACACCTGCCACGTGTGCCTCTCCATGTGCCGTTGGTCCGGTGCTGGGAGAGGTTGAAGGTGCTGACCTCACACACTTAAAGAACATGTATAAGAGGCTGACTTTTGAATTGGCATTTCACAGTGCAACTTTAAGGAGAAAGTGATGTGTTCTGCTGACCAAAAATATCCATGACACCCCATTGCAGGCAACTGAAAAGGATTCGGGGATTCGGCACAAGTCCTCGTCTTACCTGTGGTGAAGGCAGAGGGGTGAGAGCGTGGCCTCAAAGCCAGTTGCCCAGAACCACATCTGGGCCGTACCCCTTGCAGGGGCTTCCCCCACGCAGTTCTCTCTACTTGGAGGCCGTGCTTCCTCAGAAACGCGAGGCTGACAGTGTCTACCTCTTAGGGCAGGTGGGACATAAAATGAGCGCCTGGGAAGCGCTGCAGGTGCGAAGTGTGCCTGGGAACCTTGTTCCCTGGCGTGGGGCAGTGCTGCCACCTAGTGGCCATCTTACAGCTCTGCCTCTGCACTGAGTCCAGGTAGTTGCAGCCAGGAACATTCATTTTCTCTTCTTCCTTCCTTCCTTCCTTCCTTCCTTCCTTCCTTCCTTCCTTCCTTCCTTCCTTCCTTCCTTCCTTCCTTCCTTCCTTCCTTCCTTCCTTCCTTCCTTCCTTCCTTCCTTCCTTCCTTTCTTTCTTTCTTTCTTTCTTTCTTTCTTTCTTTCTTTCTTTCTTTCTTAATATTTATTTTATTTATTTGAAAGACTTACAGAGAGAGTTGGGAGGAAGGAGGGGAGAGAGAGACAGAGAGATGGAGATGGAGGGAGAGTGAGAGGTCTTCCATCCTCTGGTTCACTCCCCAAATGGCCGCAATGGCCGGAGCTGAGCCGATCCAAAGCCAGGAGCCAGGAGCTTCTTCCCCGTCTCCCACGTGGGTGCAGGGGCCCAGGGACTTGGGCCATCCTCTACTGCTCTCCCAGGCCACAGCAGAGAGCTGGATCAGAAGTGAAGAAGCTGGGTCTCGAACTGGTGCCCATATGGGATGCCAGTGCTGCAGGCCAGGGCTTTAACCCACTGTGCCACAGCGCTGGCCCCTCCATTTTCTTTTTATTTTTTGGAAAGACACAATGTCAGAGAGAGACAGACAGACAGACACACACACATCCACCATCCAGATTCATTCCCCAAATGGCTGCAACAGTGAGGGCTGAGCCAGACTGAAGCCAGGAGCTTTTGGGTCTCCCAAGTGGGTGCAGGGGTCCAAAGTCTTAGACCATCTTCTACTGCTTTCCCAGGCCATAGCAGAGAGCTGGATCAGAAGAGGAGCAGCCAGGATATGAACTGGCACCCTTGTGGGATGCTGGCATCACAGGCAGAGGCTTAGCCTACTACGCCACAGCACCAGTCCCAATATTCTTTTTTTTTTTTTTTTAAGAAAGATTTATTCTATTTATTTGAAAGGCGAAGTGACAGAAAGAGAGAAAGCAATCCTCCCAGTCCTCCACCCACTGGTTCACTCCCCAAATGGCAGCAACAGCTGGGGCCGGGCCAGGCCGAAACCAAGAGCCAGGAGCTCCATCCAGGTCTCCCACGGGGGTGCAGGGGCCCAAACACTTGGGCCATTTTGGCTGCTTTCCCAGGTGCGTTAGCAAAGAGCTGGATCGGAAGCAGAGCAGCCCAGACTCAAACTGGCGCTCTGACGTGGGGTGCCTGCATCACAGGCGGCAGCTTAGCCCTCTGCACCCCAGTGCTGGCCCCTGGAGGAAGATTCTTTATCCCTGGGAAGCAACAGCTGTGGAATGAGGCCAGAGGCGGGCGTGCGGTGCGGCAGTTAAGGTGCTGCGTGGGACGCCCGCATCCCGCATCGGAAGTGCCTACCTCAGGTCCTGGCGCTGCTCCCAATGCCAGGTTCCTGCTAATGCAGCCTGGGAAAGAGCGGGTGGAGGCGCAAGTGCTGGAGTCCCTGACCCCGGGTGGGAGACCTGGACTGAATCCCAGGCAGAGCCAGGACGAACCCAGGCACTCTGATCCGAGATGCAGCTGTCCCACGCTGTGACTCAGCCACTGGCCCGAACGACCCCCCGCCACCCCGCCCTTATTTTTCAAAAGTGATGCTTGTAAAAAAGGCAGAATACAGACACGCGCAGTGGGAGTTCTGTCTTCCCCGAGCCGCAGGAAAGGCGGCCACACGGTCCAGTCGCTGACGTCACTGCACCTGCCAGCCCTTCGCTCTCTCTCCCTTCCCATAAATGCACCGTGCTCCGTTCTGCATGCTCTGTGTCGGTACAACCCCGGGGGTGAACTGTGAACCCCCACCCGCACGTTTCTGGGGGAGAGGTGCTTGTTAAGCGACCACCTTCCGAGGAACCGGAGAAGGCCCTGCCCGGGGCCGCCGCCAGGGGGCGCGCGAGACGCAGGGAGGAGGAACTTCGCGCTTTGTCCCCTCGCGCGCTCCGTCGGCCGGCGCCGGGCGGGAAAATCCGAGCGCGCCGCCGCCCGTGCCTGCCCACGCGCGCCTGCGTGGGGCTGCCGGCTGGGATGGCGGAGGAGGAGGCCGAGGAGCAGCAGCGGTTCTCTTACCAGCAGGTAGGGGTCCCCGCGGGGCCTGGGTTTCGGGGGAAAAGGCCGCGCCTCGCGCAGCGCCCGTGGGGCCTGGGTCTGGGGGGTGCCGCTGCTCGGCCTCCGCTCCGGGCCCAGGCTCGCTGTGAGGGCGGAGTGGGGCGCTGGAGGAGCCGGGCCCCGCGCGGGGAGGCCGCGGCGGGAGCTCCCCGCACGCTCAGACCCCGGGCGCGGGTGCGGTTTTCTGTGCGAGGCCGGCGCAGGGCAGTGGGGGCGCGGGGGTCCCAGCCGTGTATCGGGAGACCTGGCGGCGCACTCCCCAGGTGGCAGGGGCGCCCCGGGGCTCCCGTGCGGGCCTGGGTCGTCCTGAGCTGCGGGTTAGCGCGGCGGCCCCCGGTGGGGACACAGCCCGAGGGAGCAGCGAGCCAGCTCCCGCGCCTGGGCGCCGCACCTGCTGCTTCCAGCCGCGGGTTTGAAAGGCAGAGAGGATGAGAGACAGCGGTCTCCGCTCTGCCCGCAGCACCCGGGGCGGAGCCGGCCTGGGCCTGGGCGAGAGCTGAGCGGGAGGCCGGACTCCCGGCCCGGGGCCTCCGCCGTTCCGCGCGGGCAGCTCGCTGCGGACTCCCGCGCGCTGGTGTTGCCCCGAAGGCGCGTCCGGTAGCCCCTGGCCCCGTGTCCGCTCTCTGCGGAGCCGAAGGAGGCGTGGGAGACGGGCCCCCAGGCAGCAGGGCTGCCCTGTGCGGGTTTGTGCGTGGGCAGGGCGGACGACGGTGGACCGACCGCATGAGAGTGGGGGCGGCCGGGGGCACTTCGGAGAGACCACTCCGCCGTGGTCAGCCACCTGCCGGGAACAAGGCTGCCCGTCTTAGCCTGGAGGCCTCAGAGGCTGGGAGCTGGCCTCTGAGCACGGGGGTGTCCGCACCACCGGGAGGGTCCGGGGAGGGAGGAGGGGCAGAGGGCACTGGACCCAGCGTGAGCGTGGAGGAAGGACGTCAAGGGGTTCGGGGTGCCGGGCAGGTCTTGTGACGTTTGGAACCGAGGAAGGCAGGAGCCTTGTCCCCTGCCTGGCCTCCACATGGGGTCCTGGTTCCTGTTTGCAGCCCCTCCTCGGTGTCCTGGTCCAGCTGTCACCGTGTCCAGTTCGGCTTTGTCTCCGGCACAGCCAGCACGCGGGCTGTGGACGCTTGTTTTTTCTTTGTTGGGGTTGCATTTTTGTTTGAGAGCGCTCCTGTCTGCCGGGTCGCTCTCCCAAATGCCTGCACTGAGCCCACGTTGGGACCGGAAGCTCTTCCCGGCCTCCCGCGTGGCTGGCAGGGCCCCCGCCATCAGAGCCAAGGCCACAGCCTCCCAGGGTGCAGGAGCTGGGCGGGGCGTCACCGTCACGTCCACGCGCCCTGATCCTGAACGTGGACGTCGGAATTGGCATCGTGACTGCCTGCTGCAAGTGCCCACCCCTTGCTGTTTTGTTTTGTTTGGATGAGTTTTTTTTGTTTGTTTTTCTTTCTGACAGGCAGAGTGGACAGTGAGAGAGAGACAGAGAGAAAGGTCTTCCTTTGCCGTTGGGTCACCCTCCAATGGCCGCTGCGGCCGGCGCACCGCGCTGATCCGAAGGCAGGAGCCAGGTGCTTCTCCTGGTCTCCCATGCAGGTGCAGGGCCCAAGCACTTGGGCCATCCTCCACTGCACTCCCGGGCCACAGCAGAGAGCTGGCCTGGAAGAGGGGCAACCGGGACAGAATCCGGCGCCCCGACCGGGACTAGAACCCGGTGTGCCGGCACCGCAAGGCGGAGGATTAGCCTAGTGAGCCGCGGCGCTGGCCTTGGATGAGTTTATCAGAGGCAGAGTGAGCGCCCATCACTGAGGAGAGTGCATGGAGCCGCAGGCGCCCGTGCCTTCCCAGGGACCTGCGCTGCAGGCTGGGATTTGGGGCCTAACCCTGAGGGCGGAATGGAACCTTGCCGGGAGTGTGGAATAGCGTGGTCTGGCCTCGTCTTTCCATGCCCTGGCTCGTGGCTCGTGGCTCGTGGCTCGTGGCTCGTGGCTCGGCAGTGGTGTTCCTGGGCGTCCCGCACAGAGACCTCGTCCATCGATCCTGCACTTGGAGAGGAGCTCAGCCCTGTGGAAGGGGCTGCGGGAGCTAGGCTGAGCGGCTTCTCCCCTTGGCCTTGTGGTTGAAGGCATTTATTTGAAAGGGAGAGGGAGAGAGAGGTCTTCCATCCGCTGGGTCATCCCCAGGTGGCCTCGACGCTGGCCAGGCTGGAGCCAGAGCTTCTTCATGTGGCTGCAGGGTCCCAAGCGCTTGGGCCATCCTCCACTGCTTCCCGGGCCATTGCTGGGCGCTGGGTGGGAGGTGGCGAGCCGGTGTCACGTGGCAGCCTCACGGCGGGGTCTGCTCTCTCCCCAGAGGCTGAGGGCAGCCGTTCACTACACCGTCGCTGCCCTCTGCCAGGAGGTGGCTTCAGACAAGGGGATGCCGTTCAGCAAGCAGAGCGTCGCGGCCGTCTCGGAGGTGACTTTCCGGCAGTGCGGTACGGCCGAGGTCTGCCCGGCAGGGTGGCCGTGCCGGGAGCGGTGCGTGGGTCGGGGCGAGCGCTGGGGGGCCGAGGTGTGTTTGAGCAGCGCCGTCGGATGCGCTGAGCGAAACGTTTCTTTCTTGGCTGTAAGAGGTGGGTGCTCTACGGGAGGAGCTGGTGCTCTTTGCTTGCACGAGCTCTGGGGCACCAACACACACACACACACACACACCCCGTCGTGTTCTGACGGCCCGATAGCTGGGACGTTAGACGCCATGTCCCTTCTCCAGGGTGTATACGTTTTACGTCACCCACAGCTCGGCAGGTGAACCTGCAGCCTTCGCATTCGCGTGACTGCGAGGAAGTTAATGTCCCCCTAAGCCCTACCCCCGGCAGATGGTTTCTAGAAACCAAAGGTGCGGTCACTGTTAACGGAGGGCCCACCCTACAGACCGGGAGGGCCGGGAGCCCGCGGCGAACAAGCGAGCTGCGTGCTGCTGCCAACGCCAAGTCACCTGTAGGGTGGTTTGCCATATTAGTGCAGAAATTGGGATTTCATTTTTCCTCCTCCTGGGGTAATACTGGGGTAAGGGTGGCTAAAGTATGTCTCTGTTCTTTTTCAGAAAATTTTGCCAAAGACCTTGAGATGTTTGCAAGGTGGGTGTCGTCCATTTTTGCCCGTGTGGGGCTGCAGGGTGGGTGTTCCTGGGGCGCCTTAGCTGCTGCTGGTGTTTCACGGGGAGCGGAGCCTCACCACGCCAAGACTCGGCAGGGGTGTGGCCTCTGGTGGTCACGCCCACTCTGGGGTGTGGCCTCTGGTAACCACGCCCACTCTGTGGGGTGTGGCCTCTGGTAGCCACACCGATTCACATCTGTGTTGTGCTTCTTGTTAAAGAGCTCAGGTCTCCGGCTGGGAAGGTGGGAACGAGGCCGCCAGCACTCAGGATGGGTGTGCGGTGTCTGCTTTGACAGCGGCGGCTTGGGGGTGGTTTGATTGCGTGGGCTCTGCGGGTGCGGGGTTGGCAGTGCTGCTGCTCCGTGGGGCAGCCCCTCGAGCTCGTCCCGGTGACTGCCGGCAGGTGTGCAGAGAATGAGGGGCGCTGGCTTGCGCTGGCTTGCGCTGGCCGCGTTTGTTAGGAGCGAGCGCTCCCTGGAAAGTGGGCGCCTTGCTTTCCGCTGGGAAGCTTTGGCCTTCGCAGGTGGTTTTTGCCCGGCCGCTCAATTGGTGCCTCAGGTAATTGAGAGCAACTGCCAGGAGCGGGAGCCGTGTGAGAGACGGCGGCCGGAGAGGGCTGGCGCTTTCTGGTGTGCCGGCTTCTCCCAGACCCCTGCCTTCACCCTGCTCCTGTCCGCCCTGTTTCCTGGATGAATATTTTGAATGAATTAAAGCAGTGGGCTCTCCGGGGCAAGCTCTGAATCTTCCCTATTCCTCTATATATTAGTCCCTGAAAACCGCTTAGCATCTGCAACTTGACCAGAGGGGCTCACAAGTATTATGGGATGCTGCGAGCTCTCATTCGCTGTTAATCCAGGCAGTCACCCCCACGTGTGCCCCACCCCCAGGAAATCATTTATCACTTGCCATTGTGTTAGCTGTGGGAAAAGACTCTGAAAAATTTAAAAAAGGGTACTGTGTCAGAGATTGAGAGAGAGAGGGATCGATTCATCTTCCATCTGCTTCCCTCTCAAAAGGCCACAGCAGCCGCCTAGGCCGGCAGAAGCCAGGAGCCAGTAACTCCATCCTGCTTTCCCACGTGGGTGGCAGGGGCCCGACTGCTTGGGCCAGTTCACTCCTCAGACCCGTCCTGAGAAGCTGAGCAGGTGCAGACCCAGTTCTGGGTGCCCAGAGGCAGGCTGTGCACCCTTTGACTTGACACAGTCCACAAGTGTAGATGGTCGTGACGGCTCCTCTTCTGTCTGAGCTTCACATTTGTTTTCATGATATTCCAGGTTGCTTTTATACAAGAAAGTAGGTTATTGTTGGGGGGGGAGGAGTGTGGTACAGTGAGTTAAGCTGCCACTTAGGGCACCGGCTCCCTTATTTGATGACTGGGATCAAGTCCTACCTCCACTTTAAAAATAAATAAATAAATAAATAAATATCGATTTAAAATTTTTTTTTATTTTATTATTATTTTTTGGACAGGCAGAGTTAGAGACAGAGAGAAAGATCTTCCTTTTTCCATTGGTTCACCCCCCAAGTGGCCGCCACAGCCGGCGCACTGCGCTGATCTGAAGCCAGGAGCCAGGTGCTTTCTCCTGGTCTCCCATGCGGGTGCAGGGCCCAAGCACTTGGGCCATCCTCCACTGTACTCCCGGGCCACAGCAGAGAGCTGGACTGGAAGAGGAGCAACCGGGACAGAATCCGGCGCCCCGACCAGGACTAGAACCCGGGGTGCCAGTGCCACAGCTGGAGGATTAGCCTAGTGAGTCGCGGCGCCGACGATTTATTTATTTGAAAGAGTTAGAATGAGCGAGCGCGAGCACACGCGCCTGCATCCACTGATTCACTTCTCAGATGGCCACACAGCCAAGGCTGGGCTGGGCTGAAGCCAGGAGCTTCTTCCAGGTCTCCTATGTGGCTGGCCAGGGCCCAAACTTGGGCCATGTTCTACCACTTTCCCAGGTCATTAGCCCAGAGCTGGATCTGAAATGGAACACCCGGGACTTGAACCGGAGCCTGTATGGTAGGCTGGCGTAGGAAGTGGCAGCTCTCCCTGCCACGCCTCAGTGCCAGCCCCCTAGTAATCAGATCCTGCCGCCCATGTAAGAGACCTGGGCTGTGTTCCAGCTCCAGGCCCCGGCCGCAGTCCAGCCCGAGCTGTTGCAGGCATTTGGGAATTTGGAGAGTGAACCAGTGGATGGGGGTGCTTGCTCTGTCTTTACCTCAAATCAGACAAAACCCCCATGTTGAGCGGAGTGGAGGACAGGGTGAGTGTTGTTTCCCAAGACTTCCTGTGTACACAGCTCACTCTACTCATTCCTTTTGCTACAAGAAGAGAATAAATAAATAAATTTCGTGGGACGTGTACTAAGGGGTGCTTCAGGCTTTCTCCATGAAGCACTTCACACAGGCTGAGCGGCGACGCGGTTCCCAGGGCACAGGAGTTGATACCCAGGACCTCTGTGGCTCTGGTACTTTGTAGCTGCTATCCTGTTACCTTTTCTTTAAAAACAAACAAAAAGATTGATTTCTTCAAAGGGCAGAGTGACAGGAAGAAACAGAAGTCCATCTTGCAACTGCTGGTTCACTCCAAATGTGCACAGTAGCCAGGTCTGTGCCAGACTGAAGCCGGGAGCCAGCAGCTCCGTCCTGGTCTCCACGTGGGTGCAGGGGCCCAGGCACTTGGGCCATGCTCTGCGGCCTTCCCAGGTGCGTTAGCATGAGGGTGGATCAGCCAAGACTTGAACCCGCACTCCAGTGTGGGATGCTGGCGTCACAAGTGGTGACCTAACGCTCTGCACCACAGTGCTGGCCGCCCTGCCCCCATCTCCGTCCTCTCCCCCGGGTCTTGCAAGGTGGTAATGAGAAGTGATCTCTAGAAATGGATAGTATTTCATGACATGCAGATACTGTCAGGACGAGATGACGTGTTATTTGTACATTTAGCAGGATGCAAAGGATTAATTTGGCCAAATGATGTAATTTCTGTGTGATTTTTTTTTTCTTTAACTCAGCAGATACTCAGGGTTCAATCTGTCCTGACCACTTTACTAGTTATTGAGGACACAGAAGGGCTGGTGTTGTGGTTCAACAGGTTAAGCCCCAGCTTGGCACACCTGATCCCAAGTCAGAGTGCCTGGGTTTGGGGCCCTTCCCCACTCTGACCCCCCTCTTGCTGACAGGCCCCCGGGGGGCGGGGCAGTGGTGGTGTTTCGGATGCTCGGGCCCTGCCAGTCTCGTGTGGCTTCAGCCCGGCCAGCCTTGGCTGTTGCAGTTACTCGGGGAGTGCACTGTGGGTGGAAGGTCTCTCTTCTTCTGTCTCTGTGGGTGGAAGGTCTCTCTTCTGTCTCTGTCTCTGTATGTCTCCATTATTCTGCCTTTCAAATTAAATCTTAAAAAAAAAAAAAGATAGCCAGACTCCTGCTTGTTCTCATCTACAAGTGCTCAGTGTCTGGGTGGAAGTTGGCAGTGGCGAGAAAGGGTGTGCTCAGCCGTAAATCATCGCGTGGTGCTTACTCTCTCAAACCCTTCAAATTGAGGGTGAGAGGACTGAAATGAGAGTTTGAGGAGTTTGAGTTGTGATAAGAAACAGGCTGCAGTCTATTTTCCTTTTTTTTTTTTTTAAAGGTTTATTTATTTAAAAGGCAGAGTTACGGAGAGGCAGAGAGAGAGGTCTTCCATCCTCTGGCTCACTCCCCAGATGGTCGCAACGGCCAGAGCTGGGCTGACAGAAGCCAGGAGCCTCTTCCGGGTCTCCCACACCTGTGCAGGGGCCCAAGCACTTGGGCCATCTCCTGCTTTCCCAGGCCATAGCAGAGAGCTGGATCGGAAGTGGAGCGGCCAGGACTTGAACTGCTCCCAGTGGGATGCCGGCACCACAGGTGGCGGCTTTACCCGCTGCACCACAGCGCCAGCCCAGGCTGCAGTTTAAAGGAGCCAGGATGAGGGGAGGGAGCAGGCGCATTCGGAGGCATCTGCGTCTGCTGCTTCCTGCAGGCCCTTGCGGAGAGCTTCTGGGCCTCCACGTGAGCAGAGTCGTGCTTTGGGACGTTCTCTTAGCTCCTCCGCGTGAACTTGCACCCTGACCTTGCTCTTCTGTGCTGTTTGCTGGGATCCCGGTGACCCAGACGTCACCTTGGAAGGGCCCCGCCCTGTGCTTCGTCACCCGCGGCGGAGAGATGGGCTTCTGTGGTCTCCGTCTCTTTAATTGGTTTCTTGGCTGGTAACTTCTCTCATTCTGGAGTTACTTTGCTTAATGACCGTAATCTAAAAAGAGGGGCTACTTAGAGACCCTCGTTAGCTGGAAGTCTGACCGTGAACTTGTAGTTTCATCGGAACTTTCAATAACAGCAAACATTTTGGTGACTTGCTCTGCCCTTCCCACAGACATGCGAGAAGGAGCACAATTAACACTGAAGACGTGAAGCTCTTAGCCAGGAGGAGTAATTCACTGGTGAGAGATGGATTTCTTCCCTCACTCCCCTTTGCCATCAGAATACATTATTCCCAATTAATCACTTGCAGCCACGAAGTTATTCCCCGGGGCACCTTGCATTAAGAAGTAGAGATGGCTGAACCGTTTCAGACCTGCCCGTAATTTATGGTCTCTCTTTCATGATGATGGATCTTGCTAAGCCAATTTGAAATTTTCTAATCAGCACTCTCTGGATTTCATAATTCGCCTTTTTTGTAATGTCTCAAAACTTTGGTCCCATGTTTCATGCACAACATGATGTCAGAGACCGGTCACAGACTCGAGTCAGTGGGGATCGTTCCATTATGGGCCCACAGCTGTCCCCGGGGACAGATCCGTATGTCTGGACGTGCAGAGCAGAACAGTTTTGACCACACCTTCCTTCTCTGGGGAGACACTGGCACCCTGATTCCGTGATCATCCCCGTGGCGTGTCTGGGACGCTGGGCAGCGTGTGCCCGCCTCTGACACTGGGTGGCCCTTGCTCAGTATGCGCTCCGTGTCTCTCTGGTCCGGGGACGCAGGAGGAGCTCTGCAAAAAGCCGTTGAGTTTGCCTGGCACTGCATGTCGTAGCTGAGTGCTCACTGCCGCGCGCTGCGGGTGCTGCAGATTCAGCTTGTGAGCCCTGTTTACAGACTCGGCAGCCGAGGGTAGAGACAAAGTTGACAGCTAAGCTTTCTGGGTGCCAGGTGGACCTGACCACCGCCTCCACCTCTCCCCTTCCTCCTCTTCCCTCCCATTTTTATTATTATTATTTGAATGGCAGAGAGACATCTCCCATGTTCTGGTTCATTTCCCGAATGCCCACGATAGCCCGGGCTGCGCCAGACTGAAGTCGGGAGCTGATAACTCGATCCAGGTCCCCCGGATGGACAACAGCGCTTTCGCCGTTCCTTGCTGTGTCCCAGGGTGCACATTGACGGAAAGCTGGATCCGAATTGGAGCGAGGACTCAGACCCAGGCCATGGCATTTTACCTGCTGTGCCAAACGCCTGCCCCCAAACGTCACGCGCTCGCCCTGGATCCAGTGCCGTGTGCCTCCTGCTGTCTCTCCCTCCTCTCCCGAGACTGTGGCGGCGCGCAAGGAAGCTGCGGTTCCCAGGGAGAACAGCTACGGCGCCTGGATTCTGTCAGTGGGAGGCCTTGCTCGGATCCTGCACACTTGGCCCACGCCACTGGAGGAGTGGTTGAGGGAAATCACCTACTCTGTGTAGCCCTGTACTTCAGAACAGTGCTTCTATTTTGGACTCCTAAAAAGTTGTGTTTTTTGTTTGGTTTGGTTTTTTTCCAAATTATTACCAAAGAGTGCAGCTCAGTTTGTGCATTGGACATCTGTCCCCTATGAGGGCTGGGGCCTGGTCTGGTCTTGTAGTTTTGGTGCCTGCTACATAGTAGTCAGTATTTTTTCATTGAGTAAATTTAGGGGGATATTGGTTACTTTCTTTAAAAAAAAAGATTTATTTATTTGAAAGAGTTACATACAGAGAAGAGAGGCAGAGAGAGAGGGAGAGAAAGGTCTTTCATCTGCTGGTTCACTCCCCAGATGGCCACAGTGGCCAGACCTGGCGCTGATCAGGAGCCAAGAGCTTCCTCCAAGTCTCCCACACAGGTGCAGGGGCTCAAGGACTTGGGCTGTCTCGTACAGTTTTCCCAGGCCACAGCAGAGAGCCGGATCAGAAGTGGAGCAGCCGGGACTTGAACTGGCACCCGTATGGGATGCCGGCACGGCAGGTGGGGGCTTTACCGATTATGCCACAGCACCGGCCCCAGTTACATTTGTTTTTGTAGAGTGTGTCTGTGATTAGCAGGCCTTCCACAAGCTTCACACTTTAAATTCTTTGGATTTCCAGGGAGCTCTGACCTCTACGTAGTAGCAGCGAGTTGATTTTTGTAGTTGATTCCTTTTTCCAGAAAAAAAAAATTTTGAAACTGCATTGGATTCTAGGAAATACAAACCAGGCTTTTGCACGCAGGTTCTTTGGGTGGGAGGGAGTGTTTGGGGGTTGTAGTTATTCTCGGTTTTCTTTATCTGGTGTGTGTGTTTTTTGTGTGTGTGTGTTTTTTGTTTTGTTTTGTAGCTGAAATACATCACAGAGAAAAGTGAAGAGATTGCCCAGTTTAACACGGAGCAAAAGGCAAAGAAGAAAAAGAAGTTAGAGGAGGGAAACAAGACGCTGGAGGCGGCCGAGGTGGTGGAGAGTGAGAGCTAGAGCCGAGCGCCGCGAGGGCCGGGCAGAGCCGCCGGGGTGCAAGGACACGCGGCCGGGCGCTTCCTGCCGTGCCCGAGGTCCCGCGTGTGGAAGCCGGTTCACAGGAGGGCTGCAGGCCCCGGGCGAGCCCTCCCAGGTCGTACTCCAGAGACAAGGCCGCGTGCGCCAGAAGCCGCTTCTGTTGCCGTTGAGGGAGTTGTGTTAGCCTCTGGACAGCGGCTTTCTCGAGGGAGAATCGGTGACTTCCTGGTCTCTGACACAGTTTTCCAGGCTGCATGATGGCCTGCGGATGGATGAAGCGGTGTGCAGTGTCTCGTCGGCAGTGTCTCTAAGCCCAGCCTGCGATCACGGGGAGGAAGCTGGGTGTCCGGGACTGGTCCCTTGTACTAGTTAAAGGTAATTTTCTCCAGAAACAGTTTATATGGCTTTTCTCTGGTTATTTTGTAATTAAACTGCTTTTCTCAGGCAACGTCTGGCTTTGGATTTTACTGCCCCAGATCCCCGAACGTGCTGTCTCCTGTTTGTGAGACGAGGTCCCCAAGGCCCCCCCCTTCTGCCTTCTCATGTCTTTGGGGTTTCTTGGAAGCCCAGGGCGGCCTTTGCCTTTGGGGGCCGTGAGGGTGAAGAGGAGGGCTGGCGTTGCAGAGCCAGGCCCTGCTCTGAGTGCCCGTCTCCATCGGTCACCTCGTGCAGTCTGCAGTTTTACCGGGCATCTTCCTGGTGAGCACTGAGCCTTGATGAGGTTGACCAGCTGCCAGGATCACCAGGCTGGATTGATGAGCAGGGACGGAATTCACACTCAGCGGTGCTGACTGCAAGAGAGGGAAGGGCGTGTGTTCTGGGCGAATTTATACCATCTGCCCAGTCTGCTCAGCAGGATACCCTCAAAGCCGTGGACACAGACGCCGTGGGATCCCGGGTGTGGCACCTGCGTGGGAAACGTGGGTCACAAAGTCCCGTCCTCTTGGTGCCCCCAGCAAGGCCCCTCGTGTTGGCAGTGGTGTCTCTTCCAGCTCCGCGTCAGGAGGAGCTCAGGGAATTGGGCCCCGGGCTCCCCGGGGGCTGGCAGATCCAGACGGGCACCCAGGTCCGGCAGCTCTGGCAGCTGTGTTCACTGGAGAAGCAGGGCTGAAAATACTCGGCATTGGAACACATCCTGCCTTTTATGTTTCTTGTCTCCGTGAGGCTAGAAACGGTGAGCCTGAGTGTGCCGGCGTGTCTCATTAGCATGTCACAGAGGGCGTCTCCCAGGTGCCGTGAGTTTAAGATTTGCTGATTTATTTGAAAGGTAGAATGATGAGGCAGGAGAGGGTTTCTTCTGCCCTCTGGTTTGCTACCTAAATGGCCACAACAGCCAGGGTTAGGCCAGGCTGAAGCCAGGGGCCACCTGGGTAGCAGGGCCCAAGTGTTGGGGCCATCTTTGTGCTGTCTTCCCCAGGCACAGTAGCAGGCAGGCGGGATTGGAAGTGGAGGAGCCAGGACTTGCAGCTGCTGTGCCACAGTGGCTGCCCTGGTATGGGTATTTTGATGGGATTTTATTTTTCCTAGCTAGTAAGAAATCTGACTTGTGTTGTCATTCATGTAATATCTTGGTTTGACGTTTATTTGTTACCTACTTACACATTTTATTTTTAAGAGGCTTTTATTCATTTATTTGAGGCAGAGTTACAGAGAGAGGGAGAGAGAGAGAGACAGAGGGCTTCCACATACTGGTTCACTCCCCAGATGATTGCGATGGCCAGAGCTGGGATGATCTGAAGTCAGGGGCATCTTCCAGGTCTCCCACGTGAGTGCAGGGGCCCGAGCACTTGGGCCATCTCCCACTGCTTTCCCAGGACATAAACTGGCATCCAAATGGGACGCCAGCGCCACAGGCAGAGGCTCAGCCTACTAGGCCACAGCACCGGCCCCCTCATATTTTAAAAAGTTTATTTTCTTGGGGTGAACTCTGTGGCATAGCAGGTTAAGCCACTGCCTCCAACACCGGCATCCCACATGGGCACTGGTTCTAGCCTTGGCTGCTCCTCTTCTGATCTAGCTCCCTGCTAAGGAGCCTGGGGAAGCCTCAGAAAATGGCCCAAGTCCCTGGGTCCCTGCCACCCACGTGGGAGAGCTGGAAGAAGCTCCTGGCTCCTGTCTTCAGCCAGGCCCAGCACTGGCATTGCGGCCATCTGGGGTGTGAACCAGCAGGCGGAAGACTCGTATTCATTCTTCTCTCCCTTCTCTCTCTAACTCTTTCAAATAAATAAGTCTTTAAAAAAAAAAAAAAAGTTTATTTTCTTGCTTTGTTTGAAAGGCAGAGCTACAGAGATCTTCCGCTGGTTTGCTCCTCAATAGCCAGAGCTGGGCCAGGCTGAAGCCAGGCTGTCGCACCTGGGGGAAGCCAGGGAGAACCCTGTATGGGCTTCCCGTGAGGGTGGCTGGGAGCCAAATACTTGAGCCATCATCTGCTGTTTCCCAGGGTGCACCTCTGCAGGAAGCAGCATTGGAAGTGGAGGATCTGATCCCGGGCCTCTGGCGTGGGAAGTGGGCATCCCTAGGGGTTTAACCTGTGTCACTGTGCCTCCCCAGGACTTGAGCCTAGAGCCTCCCACCTTGTAATGAAGCTCTGCCCAAGCTGCAGCCAGAGCCCTCCTTGGCACATTCCTATACTGGAAGTTCACTTGCCTCTCATGTGTAGTGAGGATGGCCTAGCACGTAGGCTGTGGCAGCTGTCAGGGTGTGGGTGGCGTGGGTGCTTTGTGGTGCGCGAGTTCTGTGTACCTGCTGGATACCCAGGTGTTTACCGAGTCCACCCAGTCAGACCTGCGCATCGCACCGAGGGTCTGAGAAGCTGGCTGAGCTGCCCTGACGTTCTCAATGGCAAGAATTCCCCAAATGTCAGTGTTGGGGCCGGTGCTGTGGCACAGCGGGTTAACGCCCTGGCCTGAAGCGCTGGCATCCCATATGGGCGCTGGTTCAAGTCCCTGCTGCTCCACTTCCAATCCAGCTCTCTGCTGTGGCCTGGGAAAGCAGTGGAAGATGGCCCAAGTCCTTGGGCCCCTGCATCCACGTGGGGGACCTGGAGTAAGCTCCTGGCTTCGGATCGGTGCAGCTCCTGCCATTGTGGCCAACTGGGGAGTAAACCTTGGATGGGAGACCTCTCTCTGCCTCTCCTCTCTCTGTGTAACTCTTTCAAATAAATAAACACTAGTTACTCATTTTGGTATAGAAATAAAGGACTGAGGCACGTGCAGTGTAGACGTCATGGCTATTCAGGCCATGCTGACTTTACCTTGAATCTTAAAATAAGCAAAGGCCGAGGGGAGTGACGTTCAAGACGGGTCTCCCTCGGGAAGGGGAGTGGGTGATTCAGACCCTCCTGGCCGTCTCGCTTCCGGGAAGGGCTCTGTGTTTGTCTTGGTGAATCTGAAACCAAGCCCTGTGGGGAGGCCAGGAGGTGGGTCAGGACTGCACATTCTCACCTCCCAGAGGTGGCACTGCGTGTGGGAGGAGAGGGTCCTGGGAGCTGGCCAAGGAAGGCTCAGGGAGATACTTTCTCAGATGGTGACAGGTGGACGGTGTCCTACCAGCCTGGTCACTATATGTGAAACATCTGCTTTAAAATAAAAAGTACTCTTCATTTGAAAGGCAGAGTTACAGAGAGAGAGAGAGAGAGAGAGAGAGAGAGAGGTCTTCCATCCACTGATTCACTCCTCAAATGACCACAATGGCCAGGGCTGGGCCAGACCCAAGCTAGGAGCCAGGAGCTTCTTCCTGGTCTCCCACATTGGTGCAGCGGCCCAGGCGCTTGGACCGTCATCCACTGCCTTCCTAGGGCACTAGCAGGGAGCTGGATCGGAAGTGGAGCAACAGGGACTTGAACCTGCGCCCATATGGGATGCCGGCACTGCAAAGGAGCAGCTTTACCCCCTGGCCACAAAGCCGGCCCCGTACGTGGGTTTCTGTCTCATCCGAGAAGCGAAGTGCAGCGCCGTGACCGCGAGAGGCTGCTTGGTGGCAGCATGGAAGGCACGAGAGCCCGGCGCTCCAGGGCCAGCGTCACCTGGGAGCCCGTCACTGCCCCCGCTCGCATCTGAATCTGCACTTAGTGGTTCAGGTACACTGTACAGCTTGAGAAGCCTTGGCCCAGAGCGGGGCCGGGCTGAGGGCCGGGCTGGACACCATTGCGTGGCGTCCCGGCCCGCCGTTGGGTGAAGGTGTGGGTGCTGTCGCGGTGCCTGGGCCCTCACTGCCTCCTCGTTTTTTTTGTGTGTGCACAGCAGATTCTGTCACACTTGGTATGGGCACCGTCTTTACCATTTGCAGCTCCTTGTCCAAGACTAATTTTGTGTTACGTTAAATCACTTGCTTTGTGCTCAGCTTCCTGCTTACGCACGGGCACAATTAGGAGACGGGAAGCGTCTTCAGAAACACGCACGTGCTTTCCAAAATAGGGGCAGCTTCACTCCCGGCACCGGCACAACCTGAGGTCGCCAATTAAGGGGCTAAATCCAGTCCCAGGGTGTTCTGCGCCCTGATTGCTCTGGCTCGTGCGTCACGATACCGGCGTGAGGAAACAGGATACAGGTGGGAGACGCGTAGACAAAAAACAGCTGGCGCCCGGACTTAAAACACCCCCAGTCTGCAAAGAGACCCAAATCCAGGAGACGTCGGTGCCAGCGCCGTGAGAAGCATGGGCCGCCGCAGAGCCAGAGCGCGGTGCCCGCCGGCCCTCGGAGTGCTGCTGTCCCCCGGCCTGCCGCTGCTGCTGCTGCTGCTGCTGCTCTCGGGGGCTGCGGCCACGGCCACCCTCGCCCTGGACAGCGGCACCGGCCAGGACAGCCAGGTGAGTCCAGCCGCCCACTCCCCTGTGCGACCCCCAGCATCTGCATGGCCGGGCATGTGTGGTGGGGGGTTGAAGGACACCAGACTGGACTGGGCTGCCCTGTGGTACTGGGCTGTCCCCTGCAGACAACTGATGGACACTCGGCTTACTGGGGACCACTAGTGACATCAGAAAACCTCTGTGACACACGGGGCACCGGGGAGCCTGAAGTGGCCTCCCCGGCCGCGGTGGCGCGTGGTCAGCCTTAACTTGCACACGGCACGCGCTCTCGCCGGTGCACATGAACCATCACCACGGTGTCCGTTGTGAGGATCCGTGACTTCCTGTGGTGATTTATTTCTCTCTTGTCCGTTTTGAAAAAGTTCCAAGAAAGACTACATAAAGTGGACCATTAAAAATGGATTTTTCTCTGAAATTGCCGGATGAGTTTGAGATGGGCCATCCGTCAGCAGGCTGCTCGGAGCAGTGTCTCCACCCGTGTCTCGGAGCTGCCACTCACGGTGCACGGGGAGTGACAGGTGTCCCGACCTTCCTGCCCCAGGCCCGGGGCGGAGCAGGCGCTGTCTGCACTTGCCTGCTTGCCTCTGGCACGGGGAGTGACAGGTGTCCCAACCCTCCTGCCCCAGGCCCGAGGCAGAGTGGACGAAGTCTGCACTTGCCTCAGGCTTGCCGGCTTTGCCCTCCGTCTAAGGGGCTCCCTCAGCCTTCCCAGCCTGGGGCGGGGAGCGCCTCTCCATGTTGAAGGGCCTGCGAGTCTGGGGGCCAGATTCCTGACCTCTCTCTCCTTTGTCGTCTGCCTCTCTCTGAAAGCCCACGCAGGAAGGGGCGGCGGCGGAGCAGAGCGGGCTCCTGACCTTCCTGGCTCGGTGGCACGCGTGGACCGCCCAGGCCCGGGGCACGCCCAGCCGAGGGGACACGGGGGCCATGTCCAGGCGGCAGCAGGGTCCGCCCCCTCCGCCGGTCCCGCCCTGCCGGAATTTCTTCTGGAAGACCTTCTCCTCCTGCAAGTAGCTCTCCCTCGGCCCGTGGGGACCCCTGGAAACCGAATAAAATGTGATCAGCAGAGTGGGCGTGAGCGGTGTTCTTTCCCCGCTGCCCCGGGGCCTTGGCGCGCCGGGCTCACCGCAGCTGGAGCAGTTTGGGATCCGAAGGAAATGCTGCTTTCTGGTGGCGAGCAGGGCGTGCTCAGTGCCCCCCCCCCCCCAACCTCCCGTCTTCCTGTGGTTTACAATAGCCAAAGGCCACCCCCCCCCCCCTTACAGAGTGACAGCGCGAGCTCTTCCATCTACTGGTTCACTTTCCAAATGGCCAGAAAGGCTGGGCTGGGCCAGGCCAAAGCTGGGAGCCTCTTCCAGGTCTCCCATGCAGGTGCAGGGGCCCAGGGACGTGGGCCATCCTCTGCTGCTTTCCCAGGCCACAGCAGAGAGCTGGAGAGGAAGTGGGGCAGCTGGGACTGGACCCTGTGCCCGTATAGAACGCTGGCCACAATGCCGGCCCCAAGGCCACCTGTCTAATAAAAGGTCAGAATAACGTTTCAGTTGGTTTTGATACAGATTCTCTGAAAAATACTTCCCTCGCATTCAAAGCAGCTTTTCAACATTGTGTTCAAAGAGCAAAATATTCATGTTGTAGCCAAAATTAACCTTAAAAATATTTGAGAGATATTCGGACGGAGAGACAGAGTCCCATCCACTGGTCCACTTCCCCGATGGTCGCGGTGAGCAGGGCTGGGCTGGTCCAAAGCTGGCAGCCAGGAGCTCACCCAGGTCTCCCCCAGGGACCCAACTGCTGCAGCCACCACCTGCTGCCTCCCAGGGTGTGCAGTGACAGGAAGCTGGGCCCAGGAGCCAGAGCCGGGAATCGAACCCACACACTCTCATGTGGGGTGCTGGCATCTTAGCCACTAGGTCAAACGTCCACCCCTCTAATTAAATTTTTAAAGGATTTTATTTATTTATTTGAAAGGCAGAGTTACAGGGAGGCAGAGGTAGAGGCAGAGGCAGAGAGAGAGGTCTTCCATCACTGGTTCACTCCCCAGATGGCCACAATGGCCAGAGCTGTGCCGACCTGAAGCCAGGAGCCAGGAGCTTCTTCCCAGTTTCCCACACAGGTGCAGGGGCCCAAGGACTTGGGGCATCTTCCATTGCTTTCCCAGGCCATAGCGGAGAGCTGGACTGGAAGAGGAGCAGCCAGGACTGGAACCAGTGCCCATATGGGATGCCAGCACCCCAGGTGAGGGCTTTACCCACTATGCCACAGCGCTGGCCCCTCTAATTAATTTTGAAACTGTGCCATTAAACAGCACCGTGCTGACTTGATTATAAAAGTGACCCCTGAACTTGCTGTTAGGTGCTGGTTTTAATCAGTGACTTCATTTGTTAGTGATTTTCACAGGTTGTAGCTTAGATTTGCCCTGAAGTTTATTATTTCGTTCATTCTTTCTTTTTCCAAGATTTATTTACTTGGCAGGCAAAGTAACAGAGAGAGGGAGAGACAGACAGGTCTTCCATCCACTGGTTCACTCCCCACATGGCCACACTGGCAGAGCTGAGCTGATCCGAAGCCAGGAACCAGGAGCTTCTTCCGGGTCTCCCACGGGGGCCATCTTTGCTTTCCCAGGTGCATGAGCAGGGAACTGGATCGGAAGTGGCGCAGCCCACATGGGATGTCGGCGCTGCAGGGGGTGCTTAACCTTCTGTGCCACAGCGCCGCCCTGGCGTTTATAATTTCAAACCAGATACGGGGGCAGCACTGCTGCCTAGCCTGTACCTTGCCTCCACTTCCTTCTGAAGTGTATGTATTTATTTTAAAACTGTATTGATTTTGAAAGGCAGACAGACAGAGACTACCTCCCATCTACTGCTGGTTCACTGCCCGAAAGCCTGCAGCGGCCGGGGCTGAGCCAGGCAGAAGCCGCCAGGAGCCTGGGCTCAGTCCGGGTCTGCGGTGCAGGTCCTGGAGCCGGCACCTGCTGCCTGCAGGGCGCACGCGCAAAGCACAACGCTGGCAGGACGGGTGCTGGGACTCCGGCTTGGGCGCTCTGGCGTGGGACGTGCACGTGCTAAGTGGCATCTTGACTGCTGCGCCAGCGCCTGCCCCACCTCAACTCCTTTTTTTATTTTTTATTTATTTGAAAGGCAGAGCTTGGAGAGGGGGCCGTGGAGAGACAGAGAATGAGCAACCTTCCATCTGCTGGCTCACTCCCCAAATGGCCGCAATGGCTGGGGCTGGGCCAGGCCAAAGCCAGGAGCCAGGAGGTTCCTCCGGGTCTCCCACATGGGTGCAGCGGACCAAGCACTTAGGACATCCTCTGCTGCTTTCCCAGGCCCATTAGCAGGGAGCTGGATTGGAAGTGGAGCAGCTGGGACTCGAACCGCATATGGGATGCCCAGCATTACAGATGCCGGCTTAAACTGCTATGCCACAGCACGGCCCCGCCCCCGACTTTCAGCACAAGGACCCTCAAAATCTCAGGCGCCAGACTCTGTCCAGGGACAAGTGGCTATGTGTTATGTTTATGACATTCATATTGACTGCCTCATTCCTCAGTAGTTTCCAGGGAATAATGGTTAAACCAGGGAGGCCTCACTTCCTGTGATATAAGCCCCACGTGGGCCAGGACTTCCATGTGCTCAGAGGAAGTTTGGAGTAAACGCATCACTCCACTGCAGGACCCTAATCAAATCTTAATTCTAGGGGCCGGCGCTGTGGCGTGTGGAGCCACCGCCTGCAGTGCCAGCATCCCATGTGGGCGCCGGTTCAAGTCCTGGCTGCTCCACTTCCCATCCAGCTCCCTGTTATGGCCTGGGATAGCAATAGAGGATGGCCCAAATCCTTGGGCCCCTGCACCCACGTGAGAGACCCGGAGGAAGCTCCTGGCTTCTGGCATTGGATTGGCGCAGCTCAGGCCATTGCAGCCAACTGGGGGGTGAACCAGCGGATGGAAGACCTCTCTCTCTCTACCTCTCCTTCTCTGTGTAACTTTGACTTTCGAATAAATAAATGAATATTTAAAAAAAAATCTTACTTCTCCCCTCGAGCATCAAAATCTGCCTGATTAGCCTGTTCAGTGACTGTTGGGTTATGAACTCGAGCGTGGAGTTTTACAGGCGAGGCTGGCCTTAGTGGTCCATACCTGATTACACCCAGGGTCCATTCCTGGGTGAGGCCTCGTTCTGGGGAGGGTCCGCTACTCCCCCTCCGTTCCCTGGACGCCAGGGAAGCCGACTGCTGAGTGTGACTGCTGACTTTCTGTTCTGCTTTCCGCAGAGCTGGGCTCACGCCTAATTACTGCTGCGTGAGGGCCGGCGTGACGGAAGACACTTCACAGCAGGCTCACGTCCAAGCACGGCAGCGTTAGCGGACCCGGAACTGGGTCAGTGCGCTGGTGGGAGACGCCTGAAGGCTCCTTTCCGGGGGGAGGTGTGTGCGGCTCTTGGCACAGAGGTTGGGAGGCGGCCTGGGATGTCCACATCCCACTTCAGAGCGCCTGGGTTTGGGTCCCAAGTCCACTCCCAAGTCCAGATTCCCGGCCGGGTGCACCCTGGGAGGCAGGGGTGAGGACTGAGTGGTTGGGTTCCTGGCTCTGGCTTGGGCCTGGAACAGGCCTGAATGTTGTAGGTATTTGGGGAGTGAACCAGCAGGTGGGAAATCTCTGGCTCTCAAAATAAATCAACAAATAAATTTATTAAAAAGATTTATTCTTTCTGATTTGCAAGACAGAGTTACAGAGAGAGAGACTGGCACACACAGAAAGAGCTTCCAACCACTGGTTCACTCCCAAATGGCCACTATGGCTGGGCTGGGCCAGGTCAAAGCCAGGAGCCAGGAGCTTCATCCGGGTCTTCCACGTGGGTGCAGGGCCCCAGCACTTGGGCCATCTTCTGCTGCTTTCCCAGGCTCATTAGCAGGGAGCTGGATCAGAAGTGGAGCAGCTGGGACTTGAACTGGTGCCCCTGTGGAATGTGGCGGTTCAACCTGCTATGCCACACCAGCCCCAAAGATTTTTTTTCCTGGAAGAAAAGTATGTTCATTATTTTTCAGTTTCACTTGAGGTCACTTGTAGCCCCGAGGAGTGCTTGCGATTTGGGTCAGGGCTGACAGCAAAGCAGCCCTGGCGGGAGACACGCAAGCCAGTGAGCTCAGTGGGCGTCGGCTCCACTGACACAGCACCCGCCTGGGCAATGGCCATGTCTCGGCAGCTGGCTCCGTTGAGATGGGGACTCCATCCTGCACAAACCAGAAGAGGAAAAACCAGGCCGAGATGCACGAGAAAGAGCCGCTGTTTCCAGACTGGAACGGAAGGGGCTGGCTGGCCTGGCAGCCTGCTGTCTCTAACCTCCTACGGCTGATAAGCACAGTCGTTTACCCTTTCCATCCCGCACTTTAATTAAACAGTTCAGTGATTAAAAATACATGTGTTTGTCTTAGTAAGACAATTCCAGGCCGGCGCCGCGGCTTACTAGGCTAATCCTCCGCCCTGCGGCGCCGGTACTCCGGGTTCTAGTCCCGGTCGGGGCGCTGGATTCTGTCCCGGTTGCCCCTCTTCCAGGCCAGCCCTCTGCTATGGCCAGGGAGTACAGTGGAGGATGGCCCAGGTGCTTGGGCCCTGCACCCCACGGGAGACCAGGAGGAAGCATCTGGCTCCTGGCTTTGGATCGGCGCAGCACACCGGCTGTAGCAGCCATTTGGGGGGTGAACCAACGGAAGGAAGACCTGTCTCTCTGTCTCTCTCTAACTATGCCTGTCCAAAAAAAAAAAAATTACAAGCTGGAGAAAAAGCGTCATTTTGTCTTGATCAGAGTTCTTGAACCTGGTGACGGAAACCCCGAACCTGTGCATTAACCTGTTGCTTCACTTCCTTCCGACTGCCACGTGTCAGATCTCATTCAAGCAGAGGGCGTTCCGCAATCTGAAAATGTGGCTTTTCTTCTCTTTTATTATTTATTTGAAAGAGTGACAGAGAGAGAGATCTGTCATCTGGGGGTAGTCTCCCCCTGCTGCCTCCCGCG